TGTGATGTTTTCTAGGCCTGTTAATCTTGTCAGTTTGTGTGCAGTCAAGTACAATGGGAAGATGAAATTCACTACCGGCAGATTTCATTCTGCTTCGTGGTAAGTCCTGTTGTAGGTTTTTTTTTGGGTTTAAGTTTTTATTTGGATCTTAATCTAGTATGTGGTTTAGCAGAAGCTGGGAGCAAGCCTGAACTTGCTTGTATCTGTTGAACTGATTGCTTAAAGTGTGATTATCTTGCCGTGCATTTCTAAAGCACTGCTTTCTTCAGGCTAGTATCTGTAGTGATCTCAAAAAGAGGAAAAAAAAAAAAGTCTTACTTGAGTGTTTCTATGTTCAGTTACAGCCTACTGTGCACACATTTCATTGTTAAAAGTTGGATTGCTTGCTTGCTTGCTTCAACATAGATTTGTCTGTCTGTCTTCAATGTTGTCTTGAAGACTTTTCAACTTGAAAATCATAGAATAGAAGAATCGTAGACTCAACTGGTAACTGCTTTTCAGAATGTTAGAGGCAGGTACGTGCCTTCCATGTGAGGAAAGGTCCTGAAAGTTTCGTACTTTTTTCTGTGCTAGCATTGTAATTTTTCTTTGGTGCTATTTAGCTTAACTTTTATTAAAACAAAAAGAACTGTTATGCCACTCTGAGTTGTTGTACCTCTTTGCCTAAGTCCCTTCCATAAGATAAAAATGAGTTTGAAAAGAAGTGTGAGAAACGTCATCTTCAGGGAAAGAAATTTGGATGATCCCATATAAAGCTTGGAATGTGCAACAAAAATTGCAATTCATCCCCTGCCAAAACATATTTTTTTGGGGGAAACAAAAAAAACCCAGATGTTTTCCCTTGTATTGTTTTTTCCACATGTCACTTTAGATGTTTTACCATTATTTCTGCAAAATTGAATGGTCAAGTGTCTTCCCAGAAGTTTGATTTTTGTATAACCACTGTAGCATTTTCTCATGTTTAGTAACCATGATTACTTTTGTATTGGTTACTCTATATTGGAGAATGTGATAGTACAGCAATAATCAGTTTTATTTAAGCAAGACCAAATTCCTCTTTTATTTTTTTTTTTTGATATTTATTTCTGTCAAATATTTTAGGAGAAATCTATTTTGCCTCACTGCTGAGAGAAAAAGTTTTGTCTTACAGGATGTATGTGACCATGTGCACTAATGTTGAATTCTATTGTTTACTTAAACTTGTTTTAGTGGCACAAATATGGATGTGAAAGTGAATGTATGCATATAAATGTGTGTATATATCATATGTATGCACTACATATCTAATGCTGTACAAACATTCTTTAGGGTTTGTTATGACTTATTCTACAATTAAAGCTATGGAGGAGAACAAATTCTCTTTTTAATTTATATTAATTACATTGAAGTAGATAAATGTATTGGATAAGGTGGTCCTTGAGTTCTGCTTTTCTGTATGCTTCTTGAGCTTAAGCTTTAGTAAGGATAAACCATTGTAAGAAACAATTCAGTATTTATCTTGTAGCCTGCAATACAAACATGCAGCGGATTTGTTTAGTTGTTTGTTACTTGAATCTTCATCTGAGTAGTCAGACAAAACAGATGTTGATATAACCCTTTGCTCAGACACACAAAATACGTGGGACTGCGAACTTGCTGGTATCTGACCAGCTGTATAGCTAGGCCCTATCTGTAACATGTCTTTATGAATCTTGATGGATGCATTGACAGCTTTTGTGGTAGATTGCTACAGAGGCAGAAAATGGCTTGGGCTTCAGCTTCTAGCAGTGCTGGCACTTTGTGGTCAGAATGTCTTCTCAGCGAGCAATTTCTTCCGTTCTCAGTCTGCTACATGTTTTACTTATAAAATACACTGCAAAAAGTAATGGTTCTTGCAAATTTGGAAACAAAGTGTTTTTTTTTTTTTTCTGTGCGAGGTGATCCCCTCTGCGTTGTTATATGGTTTATATAGAGATGGGTTAGGATCCAAATAACTGATAATATATGGCTGTTTGAGTTCCTGAAGTAACAACACTGGAGGTGTTACAGAATAAGATGTGGGCAAAGCTATTGCATGTAGAAACCCCTGATATTTAGATACTGAAGAGAGCGTCTTTGGTTATAAATATATACATTTATATAAAAATATATTTTTATTTATAAATTTATAACTAAAAGCTACTTTCCTAAGTGTCATTTTTGTTACTGCTGAAGGTGGAGGGAATGAGAGAATGATACTGTCTGAAAAAAAACCCTAACACCTCAGGGAGAAAGTACCCAAATGCCACTATGAAACCCAGAACTGCCAAGGAAGGTGGAAGTGGCTGAGATAAAGTTAGAGTTGCAGTTGGTTAAAACACTTAGACTGATATGCTAACGTTGTAGAGGTTTTATATACTTGATCATGTGGGATTTTTTTGGGGTGGCTTTTTTTTTTTTCCCATTAATGGCTACATGAAAGACTATTCTCTTGCACAAACAGTGCCTGCCTGACATGTTTTGCCCACTTCATTAATTTCCGTACTAATTACTTTTCATTCTGTACTCAGAACATATATTCAACTTCTTAAGAGACTGTATTTATATTTGTATTTTTCAGGGTTTAGAGATGGGTGGAACTGTTGAATTTTATCTTTTATGGCTAGAGGCTTAAGTGAAAAGTGTGAGGAAATGCTGATGTTTGCAATTTTTGAAGGAGTGATGAGTGTTTAGATAAGTATGCAGGTTGGGAAATGACAGTTAAACCTAAAAGCTGATTGTTAATCAGTTCAGCTCAATCCAAGGCTTTTTGCATTTAAATGGCTGGGGAATCTTTTAGTGAGGGTCAACTCCCTAACAAACTTCAACTCTTTTGAGAGGTTGGTATCTGATTGGGCTATAGAGTTGTCTCCCTAAAAAAATTTAATGGTATGGATTTCATATTCAGGATGGTATGTCACTTCTCAGACTTGTGGACAGTGATCAAAGCTGATAAAAATATTGCTCTGAAAATGAAGTTAGATATTAGCAAGAATTCAAAGACTTATTTTAAATAATGGAACATTTATAATGTGTGCTGTGTTGATTTTTTTACATCTTCCATAAAAATGCAGGCTTGTTAATCTCTTTTTCTTCTTCTTATGTCATATATATATATATGTGGTGTAAGTATAAAGAGATTTGTTTTCTCCCTGTTTCTGTTTACCACATGTTGAAGGTGTGGGAGTATTAAAGATATATACAAAATTTTGCAAGGAAAGACTTCTAGTGATTAAGGTAATTATTTAATAATTTATTTTATAATAATTTATTTTATAATCATAATAAAGTACAATCACCAATAGCAATGATAACAGTTGTGCTCCGTTCAGTACATGATTTTAAATTTATATTTATTTGTGTGTGGCTTTGTGGAATGAGGATGGGCATAAGGATTTATTTATGAGTACTTTTCTGAATAACGACTTAGTTATTCAAAAGACATTGGAGAAATCTGACAGGAAGAGGTTTTATCTTTTATCAGAGGAATCGATACTGTACAGAAGTAAGCACTCTTTTAAGCTTCAATTCTAGATCGTAAGTAGTGCCCTTTTTGTCAGGAAATATTTTGAAGAATAATGTATCAATACCTGCTACCATGGATGTATTCTGCGCATATGATTTCTTTTCATTCTAACTGCTACTGAAGTCTTATGCTGTTTTGCGGAAGTTTTTTCTTTTCCAGGCTGCTTAAGGCTAGTACCTGCATGCTACAGTCAGCAGGTTTCCCTAAGGCCAAATTACTCTTTATACAGGAAGAGGGGGGTGAAAAAGACCTGTTGACTGCTGCTGATCTTCAACCTTCTTTAAAGGAGATGTGATTTCAGGCTGTCTCAAACACCTTCAGAATAGTAACTTCTCCATCTGCTTTGGATTTTGTAAATCTGGAATTTAGATATGACCCTGAAAGAGAAGAACTCAAATAGATGGAATCCGGGGAGTGCAAGAGCTGAGTTATAAAATACTGAGGAAAAGCTGTCATGGGCACTTGAGATACCAGATGTCCCTAGTGTGGAGGCCAGAACTTGCCTATGGAGTTATGGCTCTGCTGCTGTTTGTGGCCAAGGGAAAATGGCTTCCTTGACAAGAGTTGAAAAGCTAATAGTTACCTGTTTCCTATTTTTCCCTTGTCACAGTTCTTTGAAGGGCCTGATCTGCAAGATGTATTTTGATCACGTCCATAGCTTTTGGACTGTAGTTATTTAAACAATTAAGGTGCTCCCTGCTTCTGCCCTTCCCCCCCCCCCATCCCCCATGCTCAGAAGTGGTTCTACCTTTGTAAACTATTTTATTGGTTATGGTGCTTGTTCAGTTGGATTCACAGTTGAAGAGGGCTTGACCCCACAGTTCACACAGAATGCTCTAGCGAGTTATTTTTACTTTTTCCCACTGAAAGTGTGTGTTTCTGTGCTAAAAAGAGTTTAAGGCTCAGAAGATAAGGCAGTAGAAGCCCTACACTGTAGTTAATTTGTGCTAGTGTGGGAATAGGAAAGCTTTGGGTACCAGCTCTGGTCTTAGATCACTTTTTCTTCCCCTTACATCCAAGTACAGTGTAGTAAGAGTGTGCGTGTAGATAAGTGGTTCATGTCTTAACATTAACTACCAGGATTATATGTTTTAAGACTGTATTACTTGTGCTGAGTTAAAACTTTGATTTCTCTATTCTCTTTATACAGGCCAAGGTAAAAAGGTGGAGAGGTTATGCTGTTTACCCTCCTTGAAAATTTCATATACAAGCAATTAAAAAATGTTACTGTACAAACGACAAGGAGCCTTTCAGAATTTTGTCCAAGATTAATGTGAATCCAGGTGGGAATTTTTTTTTAATGCCCTTTTTCTTTTCCATAGGTTTGCAGTCTTTAAAAGAAAAAAATAATCATTTTGAACTGAAGAAACTTGAAGAAGTGTCTTGAAGAAACTGATAGTCTCCATTGGCTAGCTGACACCAAACTTAGAGAGCTTTGTTGCTGGTGAATATGCATGCATCCTGACTATATTTCTACATGACTGTGTGGGGCAATATTCGTAATGAAGCTGCCATCATGTCATCCACAGGCAATGGCACTGATATTGAAGAATTCTTGGCCAACATTAACTTGGGGCAGTATATTCCTAACTTTAAAGAATATGGCTATAACATCGTGACCGATTGCGTGGGGATAAATAACAGTGTGCTTCAGCAAATGGGAGTGTTGCCTACAGGGCACCGGAGAAGGATTCTTAAGCAATTGGACACCACTCTTTCAAAAATGCAAGGAAATTCTCTTTTCCATGAAAATTTAAAATTCAAAGACTTGAAAGGTTTAGAAGAGAAGCAATATTCGTCCTCAGATCAGGAGTCTCAAATAAGCAGTTCAAGTGTAGATGGGACTAGTTTGATACCTGCAACATTGTCAGAACAACTTCTTGATAAAGCTCACACTGATAAAGAAAGGTTTGAACTCGCAGAGCAAAACTTATCAGAGGCAAATGATGATAGCTTTACAAGTCTGGATTTTTCTAGTTTATACCAGAATTCAGATAGCATACTAAAAGCTGTCAGTCGAAGTGGAAGTATTAAGATGAATACTCAGCCGGATACATCGCTGGAAGAAGCTGCTGCATACCAAGCTGATGAGCACTTGGCTGGCTGTTTGGCATTTCGTGATCCGCCTTCTTCATTTGCTCATTCATGCGAGACCAAATACAATGAAAACAAACATCTGATGTTTGCAGATGAGGATGATTTGTCTGATAGTGAGCCAAATTCCCCATTCTTCAAGTTTAAAGGAGAAATGATAGACAATGACTTATATGATTCTTATACGCAAAACTGCATGAAAGTATTTCCAAGAGCAAGCCGGTCTTTTATATTAAGGCATCGACCTGTACCAGAAATTCCTCAATCAAGTAAAGTTCAAGCTTCATCAAGGTAACTGCTGTTTCTTTCTAATGAAGAATTGCTATCATTGTAGTAATCATAGTTTGGGGTTTCTCACAGGTGTGTTATGTCTTTTTTTTTGTGGATTTTTTTAATGTGCCCTAAATATGCTGGATCTGGTATGAATGTTGCCAAATTAACTGAAGGAGGGTTAAGCTTCAATGCAAGTTAAAAGTGCCAGTGAGAGTATAAAGGGAAATTTTAGAACAGTGTTTTCTTGTAACCTCCCCAATCTTCTCTGTGTATACTAATTTTCAAAGAAAGGAATCTTTACTGCTTTAGATTATAACACTTGTTAAAAACAACCATATCAAGCATTTTTTAAACTTAACTGTACGCTGTTAAAAGGGGGAAGAATGGAAATGCACAAAACCAAAATTGAAAAATAACAGAAAAAGCTGTTGAATCTAGTCCAAACCAAACATTGCTAATAATATTAATTAGACCTTAGCTCCAGTGTTTTTGATGAAATTCTGATCAGTCACAGGAAAATGGTGATAAAATGGTGATTTCAAGAGGGCTAAAAATTCACCCTGAAGTATAAAAATCTATTTTTATGATGAAACAAAAGTTATTGTGAAACACAAGTATTCAGGTTATACCATAATAAATTTTAAGGTTGTACTTTTTGAGAGATACTGTTCTTGGAAAATAAAAGTTTATTATTTTATCTATGTAACTTATAACAAAGATCTAGGAATTTTTAAACGCCTACACATATTAATGTAGTTTTAACTAAAAAGTGTGGCAAAATTTAGAAAATCCTTCTAGACTGTTTTGTGCCTTGTATGGTATAGCCACCCTGTAAGCAATGCAGGATGTATCTGATATGATTGTATGCATGGGCATAACAAGATGATTACATGAGATTCTTAAGTCTTAGACTTAAAGCACATGAAATTTATATGTAAATATAAATATGTAAATTTTTTGTTTTAAATTAGAATAAGATATTTTGTGGAGGAGGAAATTACATTATACTGTGGGTCTAAAGCTTTCTTCAAGATGGCTCTTAGATTAATTTCTAAACTGGTTGTCTTTTAACTATGCAACCAGTTTGTTGTATTAGATGTTGGCTTTTGCTGATGTTCTTGTAATAACAAAACCTTAGCTTTTAATGATGCTTGTAGTACAAAAATATTTTTGAGTCATTCCAGCAGGAAAAAGGAAGTGGAAAAAGGAAAATAAAATAAAAAAAAAGTTAGATGTGGGAGGTTTTCAGAGTTTATGGAATCTTTATGAGGATAGTTTGTAGCAGCATTGGTGAGGATAGTATTGGATAGAGTCCAATAAAGTTGATAAATTGCATAGGAGAGTTTGAATTTGTTTCAAAACGTTAATGTGATGTAGGTGTTGATTTGTCTTCCTTCAAAGTGGTAGAGTTCATAGTTTGAATCCACAAATTAGTGAGCAGCACTTATTGTCTTAAATAAGCATTAGTTGCTGTAGCTTGTCATGCAAAAATGTGATGGAATGTAGAGTGAAAGGTCTGATGTTAGAACTGAACTCCAGGCCTAACTTAATAAAGGTAGTATCATTTGAATGTTAAAAATAATAGGCACTGAATGTGCGGTTGATGACAATATTACAGGCTGTGTAAACAGAGTATCTCCTCACAGATTAATTTGTGATATTTTCGGTTCTATTAACTGTAAGCTCTTGCTTATGCTGGTTAAGTGTCCTAAACAGAGAAGAAAAATTCATGCGAAGGCATATGCAAAGTTTTGTTGGTGTAGCCATATCCAAATCATTAGGTTGCACTTTTTGTTAGGGGTTTTTTTTTTTTTTTAAAACCGCTAGCTATGCCTGGAAGGGACATGTCTGAGAATGTTTTGTATTTATCTTGTCTTTTTCATCTGCATATCTCAGCAGTTAGAAGCGTCATTAGCAAGTTTATACATGCCCTAAATGCAGAGTTTTCCCAGCGTTTACAAGTTTCTTTTAGGTTATTGAAATAAGTCAATACTAAGTGTTATAATACAATTGTTTGACTGAACAGATGGAGAGGCAACGGTTCTTTGCAATGATTAAGAGATTTTTGTGTGCCTTCTTTTCATTGTGATGAAAAATGTTTCATCAGTGCTTCTAAATCACAAGAAATTGTGGTTATTGACACTTAAGTATAAACATCTTTCAGTGAGGAGTAGCTTTATGCTAATTTCTGTAGAACGATTTTTTTTTTCCCTACTTCATATAATAAAGCTATTCTTGCTGAGCTGAAATGGGAATCTGATTCTGAAGGATGATAATAAGTAGTTATTCAAAGAGTACTCTTAATGTCTTTGAGAAACAATCATCCAGTAGAGATGATTTTTTTTTTTTTTTTTTTTTTTTACGAAAAAAGGCTGACAGTTACACAGTGTCTTTGATAGTGGGGTTATTGTGCAGATTTTGGTAGTGTTTTTTGGTTGATCAGTATTGGAGTGATGTGTAGTTATGCTAGGTTGTTGTCAGCTAGACTTTTTCTTATCATAACATTGAGCTCTCTGTTGATATAGAATTAGCAAAATTCACTCGAAGGGTGTTTAAAAGCACCAGAATTGTTAAGGCGTGGCAAATCATCTTCTAAAAGTGATGTCTTGATTAGACAAAGTCATTACCCTTTTGAGAAACTGCATTCTGTATTTAAGTGAGAAGTCTTGAATTTTTGATATGGTTCCCCAGTTGTGTTGTTGAACAGAACAAAGGGTTAAACACAGTGGATTGGAAGTTTCGTGGTCTCTCTTGATACTTTGGGTCTAAGTGACTTCTTCCATGCAGACATGATTGAGAGATTGAGGCTTTTGTAAGACAAAATAGTGAAAGTAATGCAATGGGTGGAGTCAACCACTGATGTGCCTTTAGTGCAAAATTAAAGATAAAAAGTACAGAGATAGTTTTGGATGCTTTGGATCATGTCATTTAGCAGTCGTAGGCGAAATAGCTGCTGTTGCATCATTCAGAGCAGCAATCTGTTTAAAGAAAAAGCTTAAGCAGATTTATAACATGGTAGACCTGTTTGTTGTACAGTATGCTACACGGATAAAATTTCAGGCTGATGAACTCTCTACTTTCAGATTTTTTTTTTGTATTCCCCACCTTTGTAACTTCTGTTGTTCAGTAGTGGGATTGGTCAGATTCTTTATTAAAAGAAATAAGAAGAAATAGACCAAAAGTAATTCTGGAAGACATGCTGTGTTTGGGGGAAGATATAAAGTAAAATAGATAATGGTGCTTGGCCTGAGCAAGCACTATTCTTTTTCTATAACTGGCAGATCCTGTGATTGAAACTTCTTGTTTGGTGCTAATATTCTTTGGACTCCATTTATTAACATATAAGTGGTCAAGATCGCTAATGAGGTGCCCAAGCTGGTGCTGCTCTGTCCCTCGACTCTGTGTGAAAGCAAATTTTTTAGGAGAGAGAAGCTGCTCCCTCTCTTTTCCTATGGTCGAGCATCGCCATTAATTTACCTCTGCAAACAGTCTATGAACCCCAAAGCTCTAACACGGCATGCAGGAGCACTTTTGATGTGTTTGCATTATGGGAGGGTTAGGTCTTCAGACAGATAGAAAAGAAAACATGTTTTGAATGAGTTTGAAAACAAAAGCTTCATTCATGTAAAACACTGTAGACGAATGGCAGTGAAGACTTTGAAGTGCTGATCGCTTGCGCTGGCCTCTCTCCCTCAGTTTAGTTGTGAGGTGACAGGACTATGTTGATAAAACAGCTCAGCTCAGCCCAGCGCGAAGCTCTCACCTTTGCAGTGTCTCAGCCTTTAGCAAGACCAGTCACTACCTCATCACAGCCTTTCATCCTGTTTATGCATAAGAAAAGGGCAGTGGGGAAGAGTATCCAGCCTCAGTCTCGTCCGGTACCTCTTAATATATGAAAATAGTGGGTCATAATCGCCACAGTGGTAATACAAAGTGATAATTTAATTGAAATTATTACATCTTTGTAAAATTGGCTCACTGTGTGATTGTCAGACCACCTGCATTAACCTTCCTTTTAAAGAGCAAAATAAAGATCATTAATCAGAAGAAGTATTAGATTTTGGCAATGATTAAGGAAAGTCATAGGCTGTGTAGATATAACTTTTTTAGTGTGGGTTTTTTTTTTTTTCCGCGATCTTATTTGCCTCCAAAGAAGTCTCAAGTGTTTTTTTCTGTCTTTTAATCCAGGTATTGAATTTGTATGATAACTAGCTAACTATTCTGTTCTTTTGAGCATTGACAAATTATTATCATTTTATAGCTTGCCCTGTATGTTGTTTGTTGTACATAATCTTTCAAGCAGGTATTCAAAATAAACTTGTTTCATTTATTTTATTTCTTGAGATAGTTTTTATTTGACATAAGTTAGAACTTTGTTTTCCAAAAATGACAAAAAGGTTTGATTTTTGATTGCTGAAAAAAAGACTATAGTTTGCTTATTAGCAGGTTTTCTTGCCATATATACATACACATAGGTAAATGATCAAAAAAAGAGTACGTGAGTACTGAAAAATATATGAAATAAAAAAGTGCAGGTCTTTGTAAGCTGACTTGTTACTTTTCCTGATGGATTTATCTTTGCTCGTTGCTATTACCATTACCCACTTGTAAATCCATCCACCTTGAAAGTAAGCCAATGACTCACTGTTTTACATAAGGAAGAAACCTATAATTTTAAAAGGTCTTTGAGTCAAAGCTGCTTATCTGTATCTCTAATTTATTTTAAAGCTATTAAATCCCTTAAACCCAGCCTAACAAAGAAAATCTGGTCTGTGTTGAAAAAGCTAGGGTGGGTTTTTTTTTGTAAGCGTACCAGGTTCTTTAAAATTAGGTTAGTACAAATGGATGAAGTTAGTTTGCTAATGTACCTTCAAAAGATGTGGCTACATCGATTTTAGTAAAACATATGAAGAACACAGACTTTTAAAGTATTTTTTGTATTTATAACTCAAGAGAGTAAACAGTTATGTATGGGAGCTAGGCCATGGTCTACCTTCACTGGCCAAACTCACCATGTGTTTTCTGAAACGAGGATTTTATGATATATCATTGAGGAACTTAATTGGTATAACCTGGATAACGTTTGAAATGTCAAATAACTTTATAAGGTGCAGCTTCTGTCTTGAAATTAATAATTTGCTTAAGACAGAATTAGGCATGGACTAAAAATTATACGAAATAGTAGTTCATAAATGTATGCCTTCTGTCATAGAGAACATCAGCCTGTAATATGAAGTAATTCGACTTGGACTTGAGGGGACACTATTTTTAAAGTTTTGAATATAGCTAAACTTAAAAAAAATAAAATTTCTCTATATGTCAATTGGGGAAACAAAAATTAGGAATATTGATATTTTTAGTAAAACATGCTTTCTTTGGCTTTGAAGGATGGAGGACCTGCAAACTATTAGAAAAACTTGAAGGATCTTGTATGGCATTTATCAGTCACTGAATAATCTATAATGGTGCATGAGGATCTATATCACTGTTATTTCAAGCAGAGAAAATGAAATTAAGAGGAAAATTTACTAATCTCTATGCTTTCCAGCAATCTAAATGTATCATGAGGTCAATTCAAAAAACAAACAGAAACTCAAGATATGTGCTAGAATCGGAGAAGTATTTAAGTGTCATAAAGGGAGGAAAACACATTGTTGGGTGGCTTAAATTAAATCAGAAATTTTCCCAAGACTTGAAATTGACTATTTCTGTATTTGTATATAATTTTAATAGTTTAACTGCATAAGATGTTTTTGCTCCATTTCTGGAAAATTTCACTTAATGTTTTCATTTTGTGCTTTGTTTTGTTCAAGTTCCCTTCAGAAAAGAAGAAATGTGGATCTTGTAAATATTTCTTGCACTGGGAGGCAAATTTCACAAAACAGTGAGTTAAGCACGCTGGTACTTAACATCTTGAATACTGAGAAAAAAGAACCTCAGACCAGAATTCTAAAATGAGTATTGATTTGCTTATTTTAAGAAATAGTGGATGTCTAGAAAAAGTGATGTTGTAATAGAGAGCATTTAGCCACTTCATCATTTTTACTTAGTTTTTGTTTATGAACTAATAAAATGAAAAACAGAAAATCCAGTCTTTAAACCTCATTTGTTTTAATATACTTTTTTTAGACTACAGTATTTTGAGTTTCTAAGATTAGATCCAGATTTTTTTAAGCAGTTAGCTTTTTCTTGAAAGGTCTAAGGAGCATATTCCTGACTAATGCCGCTTAATTTGTTAGTTAGTGCTCGTAGCTCCAGGAAATTACAGGAAATTGTGTTAAATAGTTTACTGGAAGAGTTTGAAAGTCTCATGCAGTCAGTTGTAAACAAAAGTTCTTGCATATTCTAGATGTATGTCTTCTTTGAAGTTAAGCATATTAATTTCAAGCAAACACTTGGTGACAAAATGAAGATTGTGCATAAACGAGTTTTTGTGTAGTTGTGGGTTTTGGTTTTTGTGTGTGTGTTTGTTGATTTTTTTTTTTTTTTTTTTTAAAGTCAGAATAAAGGACAATTTGCAGCTATTGCTCCTAAGAGTGTACAACAAAAGTGTGTTTTTTTGGTTTTTTGTTTTTTTTTCACCTTGATGCAGGGTAGGAAGGAAGTAAATGCCTGCATGCAAGTTATATCCAAATTATATGGTAATAGTAGTAGTGTCTGAGGGGTGGAAAAGTGTCTGGAGTTCAGTTAGAAATAGGAAATAGTTTCTTGTTCCTCAGAATTTTTTCTGAGAAGGACAGAGAAATAACAAGCAGAAAAATCTGTTTCCCCTGTCGATTTTATTAGTACTTTTGTAGAGCATTGCACTATATGACTCTGTATTTCTTTTTTTCCTTTAAGAAACTTTCGCAGAAGGAAAGCCACCTATCATCTCTCCATATGGGGAAACCTTTATATGGGACAACCCTAAAGATGCTAAGGTAAGTTGAGAAGTCTAGATACAAATGGTCTAGCTTCACTTTAATCTTCATGTGATGTATTTTATATTGCCTTTAATTTTTTTTTTCCTCTGCTTTTTCAGTTCCCAGTACCTTTTCTGTCTTTTTGGGTACATGCAAAAGGTTCATGGTGTAAATATTTGTGGACTAGTGACTTTTCTTAATCTTGAGATACACTTTGTACTGTTCAGTAGTGGTAAGAAGCTGTGGTATGTGGTGGTTGTTTTGTGTTTTTTTTTTTTTTTTTTTTTTGTTTTGTTTGTTTTTTTTTTAAACAACATAGGACAGATCACTGACTTTTTTTTTTTTTTTTTTAATGCCCGAATCTGCTCTATCAAATGCAAAACAGTCAGAGGCCATTGCAGACTACCTTGATGTCTTCCTTTTACCCTCTTAGATACAGTAGCATATTGTAATACTCTTTTCTGACAATTGCAGGTCACGACTGGGCCTATCTACATAGGCTTCTATATATTCTATGAAAGCAGCTTACATGTTAGCTTCGATGACCTAATGGTCACTTTTGGCCATACCCTTTTTTAATTCCTGCATCTGAAAGTTCTTAGGCTTTACGATATTTTTCATGCTTCCCCTAAACTTGCTGTATACCCAGAAAATTGAGTTGTAGGATTCTCTGAAGTGAACGTTTTTGTTGGGGTCGGTAATTGACGGTGTGAATGCCACAGATGGCATGTGGACAGACTTCTGAATCACTTGGAGATCTGGGAGGTTAATTAGCTTAGTGAGGCATCCACCAAATGCCATGATCCCAGCTGCTGCTTCTGTCTCAGCAGGATGAGACCAGAAGTTGTTGATTCTGTGATTGCTTATACTTGTCCCAGCCAATCTGAAGCCACAGAGTTAGAGAAAACAGTAAATTATTCTTAGTTTCTGTCCTGCTCTTCATTCTAGTGTTTCACTTTTTACACTATTGTAAGCCATTGACTAAAATGAAAGCCACTCGAATGGATTCCTAGGATTTTTCTTCCCCAATTTTAATTTGTTAAGAATTGGTCATTGAAAATAAATGGTTCAAATTTCATCTTCTACTGGGAGTGGTTTTAGAAGCATAAAAATGATCTGGTTTTGGTGTGTACTTTCTTTTCTTTAGAAGTATGTTGTGCTTTATTTTTTTTGCCGGCTTTTTAAGGAGTTACGTATAAATTCATGTCTTTCTCCTCCTAGCTCTTGTTTTCTGCACAAAAGTGACTTTTGAGCTTTTGCTTTCTTTCCTTGTGTACAATGTCTTGTCTGTGCCAATGTCTTGTCTGTGCCAATATCTTTAAAAGTTGAAAAATTACTTATTTGTATTTAGTTCAATGGCATAAGCAGGTTTTCTAGAAGAAGTTTCCTAGCGTTCTTGTTACTACTAGGTATTATTCTGTACATTTCACCTAAATGTCTGGTTAGAAAAAAGCGTACTCAGGAAGGTTGTCTGCAATGTTTCTTACCTTACAAAGGCACCAAATACAAAAATACCATGCTGTTAAACTGGATTAAATGCTTGAAATAAAATTGCTATTTCTGCTGATTGTAGAATCATTATTAATTCAGTATATTATAACATACTTTCCCTGACTGGAAGATTTGAATTCTAATTATCACTTTCATTTAAGTGACCATTTTTTTGAGTTATATTTTTCACATGCCTGTTGGAAACTTTGTAGTTAATTTTAGTTCCATTAGAACTTATTTGCAGGCAAAGGTCGTAAAGAAGAGCCATAAAACAAAGGTCCTAAGATACATTTCACTTTCAGATTTTTTTTTTCAGTGGGTATCAAGTATCCTAGGAATAAGTAAGTTTAGATAAAATTGTAAATTATCTGAGATTTTATGGCTTGTAGCTGCTGCTTCATTTTAGAAGATAACCTCACATGAGAATATAGTTTGTATCTATAGAAGCAAACTTAGGAAATTGTTATGCTGACTGAAGTTTGTTCTAAGGGGTTAGAAGTTGGCTATTACCTTTCTTCCTGTTTCATTAGTGTAAAGAAGAAAAGGCTTCTATAGGCTTTTATAAAGGGAGTGTCTGTAGAAATAGATAATGAGTCACTACAGATTGGAGGTGAGTGAGCACTAGGGAACAGGGAACTAAGGTTATAAAGAAAATACGCCTTTAACTTTGGTCAGGAAGAAAGACAACTAGAATCAGAAGCCTCTAAAGGGTACCTTGAAGGAGCATTTTTTTAGTATTATTTAAAAATAACACAGATAATAAATCTGCTCTAAAACATTTGGATTTTTGTTGTGTCCAACTGAATATTCGAGTATATTAGAATTCCTTCACAGAAGCTCTGAAATCTAATGAGTTCAGGCCTCTAGAGTGAAGTATTGGCTTTATTTCTTGCTGTAGACTGTCAGACTAAATTAAGCATGCATATTGAGTTCAGTAAACTATGTGAGCTCCTAAGCATTGTGATAGTGTGGAATGCTGGCCAGACTGCAAATCTTAACACTTTAAAGTATTTTTACCCTTAGTATTTCAAAAGGAGTATTTCAAAAGGAGGAGGCTATCTTTATGGACCTGCTATGAAATTGTAGGGCCAAACCATGATTCAAGAATCAACCTGAGGAGAACTGTGTGACATTAGCTTTAATAGAAGACTAAGGTAGTATCTTCTAAGGAAGATGCCTGTCCTGAATGGCATCGAGTCTCTGTTTAATGTAGCCTGTAGCCTCAGTCCTGATGCTCTTCATGCAGTCCATGTTGTAACATTCAGATTTCCTGACTTGCTGTGATCAGCAAGGCTACCTGTTAGAAAAAGTGAAAATGTATCTGAATTTCTGCCTGATCAAAAGTAGAGGATTTTCATACAGAGCTGCAAGTAGGCAGTAGTCTGGGTCCAGAAAGCAGATTTCTTCATTAAAGGTAGGTGTTTCCTATGCATAAGAACAGTACATACTTAAGAGACGGCTTCTGTGTAATATATATACACCTATCTTTTAAGAAATCTCTCTATAAAGGTCTGCAGGAGAAAATGCTGCTGCTGCCTTCCTTTGTATAATACCTCAGAGATTTGCAGGAGGTGGGGGGAGATGAGAGTTTTGTCTCCTCTTGTGTCAGAGCATCTTGCAGAGTAATTCTGTAAACAACACATTGGAAATGCTTGGGATTTAGGTTGGGTGAAATACATGTCTTTGTGAGCAGATAGAACTGCCTGTCCCCACAGTCTGTCTTTGTGGACTTCTGCATTTTAAAATCTACTGGCAATAGAAAAGCACTTCTTGATAATTGCTTGGAAGTTCTCAGGCTCCCTGAATTCACTTGCCCAAGTGCTGAAGATTGGGGAGTGGGCACAAGCAGGACATAAAACTGTTATCATAATGGTTCATGAGAGGGAGGAAGAGGTACTACCACATAGCTTCAGTGGTTGTAGTTTGTCATAGCATCCTGATAAGCAAATGAAGATATAAGATAGTGACCATTTTTACACTGAAGATGCTTCCTGGGCAATGATGCCTCTTGACTATAGTGTAGAAGTGGGACACTGCCATTTCCCCTCCTTTTGTGAGATTCCAGTCCCTCCAAGCATTTGACATGCAGTGGACAGGTTGCTTTTGAGTTTTCTGTTTAGTTTGCAAGGTGTATGGATGTTTTGTTATTTAATATTTTTTTTTGCCTAATCCTTAGTGCTGCAACATAGTTAATAGTGTGGTGTGTGGGTGATGGTGGTGGTTGTTTTTTGGTGTGTGTTTGTTTGGGTTTTTTTTTTCTTGTTTTTCTTTTTAAATGGGTCTGGCTGGCAGAGGAAGGCGAGACTGTTCACCTACTTTATCCTAGCAGCAGCCTGTGATTTCCACAATTTTTGCTGCAGTGTATGCATACCCAGCTCTGGGCTATTAGCTTTTTTCGGGCTTGCCTTTTCATGTTGCCAAGGTACAGCTCTCAAGTGCAAGATGAAGTACTGCTGCTCAGAAAACAAATGGCAGCAAATGGCAAAGCTTATCCACTTTTTTTCTGCCGCCCTTCAGCTTTGTGACATGCATGTCAAAGCTTAAATGAGTAAATTAATATGCTTCCATTGGAAAGTACAAAGATGTTCATTTTAGTTTTGTTTGGTTTTGGGGTTCTTTTGTTTGTTTATTTTTAGGGAAGAAGGACGAGTATGGAGAGGCTTAGTAATGCAATATGATTGTCAGATCAAGTTTAGGAAGTGTGAAATGTAATGTTCTTGAACAGTGTTAGCCTTGACGTTTTGTACACTGCAAGCAGTTTGTGATAAAGATTTCTAAATAAACTGCAAGCAGTTTGTGATAAAGATTTCTAATAAATGTGCCTTTTAGGAAGAAGAGCTTGGCAAGAAAATGCAAGATATCTTCTATATGGCTGAGTTCAGTGTTACTGGAGGAATTTGGATTTACCACTGTTTTATCTGTGAAGGCTGTACATTTAATTCAGAGAAGTAGTATTGATATGAAAGATAGGCTAGCAGTGACAAATTATAAATGGTATACTAAACCTGCATGCAACACATGGCTCTTGAGCTTAGAAAATTTCAGGGTAAAAATAACATTCAGTTGTGCTTCAAGAAAAATCAGAGTGCTGCTATTTCTATGCACTAATTTGTTTGTATCGGGTATTTTGGACTATGCTCAAATGTTTTATTGGAATATTATACTTTAAAATGGAAATACTGAAAATAACATTTCTTAGATTACTTTTAAAAACATGATCTTTCAAATGCATATTTTAAAATGTGGCAAGAATAGCTTTGCTAGTTAGGCTGTTTTTTCTGTGTGGTTTATGTCTACAGTAATTTAAAAATCACCCTCTACTTCAGTACAAATGTTGGTTACAACTTACTTCTTTTCTAGGAAATTCATGGAAATGAATTCCTGGCCTGTGAAAATAAATCGGATCGAGGAATGAATGAAGAGTATTCTTCTCACAAGAATCTATGGTATTAAATAAGTTTTATAGAGAAATGCAAAATGTAGAGAGGAAAGAGTTATTTATTGATATCGCCAGTAGATCTCTACCTCTGAAGGCACAACCATGACTGCATTTTTTTTTTTTTTTTTGGTCTCTGTTTGAGCCTTTTCCCCATGGTATAGAAGGTGAAGTTTGCCTCTGTGGCTGTCCCAAGACTGTCTAACCCAGGTTTCGGAATCTTTTGTGGATTTGGAAGATGTCCCTCTTTTCCCCAGTTAGAACAAGGAAGACACAAGTTTTATTTTTGTATGTCTCCTAGCTAACCATGTCTGGGTACTCCTGTACTCTACATCCTCATTAGAAAAAAAGCAAACACAAAACTAAAATCTGTTCTCTACTCCTGTAATGAGGCAGTGGCCAGTATGTTGACAAAATGGGAGCTAATGTGCTCCTTAATCTCCAGTCTGAACCTGGCTTCTGTTGAGGTGGGAGAGGGAAGAGAGAGGTGATATTACAAGTCCTCCAAAGTATTAAAATGAGTGAAAGCTATTTTTCTGAGAAAGGAGACTTAATTTTAAGTTTCTGTTCAGGCTTCTAAAGGAACCAGCAAATGTTACCTTGCTACCGCTGTTGAATGTGGAAAGTAGGATTTAGTGTGGTCATAATTATAAGATACATTATGTTTAGCGTGTCTGTGGTTATCGCAATGGTTAAACATGTTTAAAATGTCGTACCAATATTTGTTCTAATTAATAATTTTAATGTATTTATGTGTTGTAGCAATACATTAAAAGTAAAACACACTTTTTCTTTCTAGTTCCTTTAATAATCAGGAAGAGAAGACAAAGGAATTTGCAAAAAAGGAATCCCTGTCTCAGGAAAGCAAATCATTAGCACCAGAAGAATCTGAAAGTGAATCTGTATATTCCTTTGTGGAGCAATGTTCTTTGCCTTTAAAGAAACAGAAAAATAAAGCAAAAACACACTCAGCATCTTGTAGTAAGATACAGACTGGAGATTCAGATTGCTTGGTCAGTGAACAAGTGCGTTTTCAGCAATTTGATGGAGATCAGACTTCGACTGGAAATGAATCAATAACACCGTATGCTTGTTTTTATGGACCGTCAGTAAAGAAGGTTAAAGCAGGATGGCTGGAAAAATTATCCCCTCAAGGGTATTGTATTTCCAGTGATTACTCTATAAATGTGAAGATACATGTATGCATGAGAGATGTTAAGTTTTTATTTGGTCACTGCTTACCATTTGTGGTGGGAAAGGAAAGGGAACTGTTTTTGTTGCAAGATCATAGGGCTCTGCTGAATTCTTAAGTTTTTAATGATGTTACCTATTCTAAAGTTTATTTAGAAGGTGCACTCAGGAAAAATATCTTTATTAAAAATTTTGATCACCACTCATGAACTATAGCAGAAAAATACATATTTAATTTGTAACAATATTTCCAATCTACATTTTTGCTGATTTTTCTGTGGGCCACAAAGTAAGTGAAAACAAACAGATTCTGAAATAATACTTTACCAATTTGGCCGTGGATGTATAAATTGATAATTAGCGTGACTGGAGATCCTGTTGGTTTCAGAATTGTGCGTATAAGTTGAGCTTTGAGTTTAGAAATGCATCTAGGGTGAATTGTCTCTTAGTTTAGTTTATTGATGTACCTAAAGCGGGAAGAATCTGAGCCCAAGTCTTGCTATAAGGTTTAAAGTAATGAAGAGGAGAGAGGAACACAATAGAAAGGGAATAGACTCTGTGCCACATTTGTAGGTAAAAAAAAAAAATCTTATGGTGTTTAATTTCTGTTATTTTTTAACAGTTTTTGAAATTGTTTTATTTAGCCTACTTTAAATTCCAGCTCTTCTGAGACTGTTTTACACTAAAGAGCACTTTATTGTCAGATCTTTACTTCATAAATACTTGTAAACGCTGATGAAATTCTTCTAACCTCCTCCTTAGTAAACTGGATAGACTATTTTTCATTTTACATTGTAGTTTCCAGTTCTCCAGTTGTTCTTACAACTGTCTTCTGAATTCCTTTTTGTATTGAAAGTGGCACAATTTTACTTTGTAAGTCTATTTCTAATCTTCACTAGTACTTAGCATCTAGAACTTAAAGTTGTCCTTGTTAGTACTGTAATACATCTACTGTACTTCTACTCGAATCATTAGTTCTGCATTCTTTGTTCTTAGGGCTGCATGTTTAGCTACACTGAAAGGTGATATTAAGCTGTTTGGCCTTTCCTTTCGTTATTTATGGCTACAGTAATCATCACTACTCATCCACTAGTACAGCAATTAAATTTTTTTTCAGTTTTGTGACAAAGTTATTGAATTGGTTGAGAATACAACCTGGTTTGAGCCTACTGGAACGAGCTCTATTGTGTAGCAATTTCCATTTTTTGCTCTTTCTTTTTAAGAGTTCTGATTTAGCAAGTTTTGATTTCTTTATTTTGGCTTTATTTGTGTTGATACAGTGATACATTGTTGAAGCTGAATAACAAGAAGGAATAAACCTGGTTTAATAAACCAATTTTACTATTACAGAATTTCAATCTGCTCAAAGCTTTTTTTTTTTAATTGTTTCAAAAGTGTCGTTCACATTTATGGATTGTCATTGTTTACTTTTACTAAAAAAAAATCAAAGAATAATTATACAGAGTCAAAAGAGTTTTACAAGTATAATATGCATTTGCACATTTTTTTTTTTTTTTTTCCTCCAGAATTCTTAGTGTATTTACTTCTCAGAGAGCTGTGATCAGCTTTAACTTCTGTTTTTTGTTTCACTTACGGGACGTTTATTTTTTTTATAAACAACAATTTTGGCAGTTAGCTGAGAGAGTAATAAAAACTGTAGTTCTTGATTCCAATTGACTTGTCTTGTGCTAGTTGAAGGAATACAGTTGTGAACAAAGTGAGAAGCCTTTAGATCGTAGAATCATAAGGTTGGAATAGAGCTCTAAGATCATCAAGTCCAACTGTTGTACTAATACCACCATAACCACTAATCCTGTCTACAAGTGCTACATCAACAAGTTTTTTGAACACCTCCGGGGATAGTGACTCCACCATCTCCCTGGGCAAGCTGTTCCAATGTTTGGCTACTCTTTTGGTAAAGAAATTTTTCCTAATGTCCAAACTAAACCTCCCCTGGTGCAACTTGAGGCCATTTCCTCTTGTCCTATCACTTGTTTCTTGGGAGAAGGGACTGACCTTCACTTTACTACAACCTCCATTCAGGTGGTCTTAGAAAGCAATAATGTCTCCAGAGATAAAGTTCTATGTGAGAACATATTATTTGAAAAAGATGATGAGTTAACCACAAAATTAGTACTGTTTAGGACTGAGTAGAACAGTAGCAGGGTCATTATCCTTGACCCAGTGATAGATATTCCTTTGGCTAAATTTCAAGGACTGTATCTTAAGCATGGTTTAATGAATGCTACATTTTTTTTGTCTCTCTTTCTTACAATACCGTTTTTCAAATATCTGAAGACTTAAAGAAAACAACAAAAGAAAAAAAAATACTATTTTTTTTCATCTCTTAAAGCACTATCATATTTTATTTCAGTCCTCAGCAAGTGACTGTTTCTTTCTGTTCTACTCCCACCTCTTCTTTTTATAGAGCCCATTTACACCTGGCATCTCTTCTGGGGAATGAATATATACTGTTTTAAGTTGCTACAAACTATGCATTTAAAGTACAGCTGCTCTTTTTAGTTCACTCACTATACATTGTAAAGCCATTTAGTTTACTCACATTGTGCATGGTGCTTAGGTTTACTTTTTCTTTCCTGTGTCATCTTGGAGTTTATTGACATTTTAATGGAAAATAGATTTTTACATTCGCTATTCCAGGTTATGAAAAATGATGGTTTGTTGTAGTCATATAATACAAGTTAATTAAGCCAGAGCTGCTATTTCATTAATGTTTTGATAAACTATCACAGTCTACTAATCCTAAAGCAGAGCACTCATTTAACAGGAAAGGAAATAATGTTGGGAAAAGAGGTGTTAGAGTGCGGTCTTGTTCTTGCTTAATTAACTTGTTTAATAGATTTTAGAATTGAAACTTTTATAGATGATAACTGATAGGCTGTCAACGTTTTTAATGGGCATAGCAGACCACTTCAGGTTCATGTAAAAATAATGTTTTAGGAGGTCCCTATAGAGCATGAGTTAATGGCAAACTACAATAATCAAATGAGCTTCTTATTAATGAAGTCCAGTTGATAACACAGATTGAAAACGAAATTTTATGTTGTACTTATTGAGTGATTTGGTGTGACCACTATTTATTCATTGGCCGGGGAAGAGTGTTCAGGAGATGTTGATGACTGGAGATACCATAGCCTGTAAACACACATGGCAATGAGGTGGTCATTTTAGGGTCTCAGCTTTCCTTTTTGGAAAGTATCTTACAGAGCTTGTAACACTTAAAGGTATGCTCTGTGTTCAGAATATTCCTTTGCCTCTAATAAAATTAGTCAGTTCTCATCCTTGTTAGTTTCAAGTAAAACTACATTATTGAAAGTTCTTTTTCCTCTGTCACTTCATATGTGATATAGAGCACATGGGGAGGAAATAAAAAGGAAACAGAGTTGATTAAAAAAATGAAGATACTGGTTTATAAAAGAAGTCCAGTAATACTGCACTTCTTGTTTCCAGATATTTTTATTATATTTGAAATCGGCATTCTCCTTTTGAAAAGATAAGATAGGAATTTTAATTTTCAGAATGTTTAGGCCTAAACAGAGGAAGCTAAACATGATTTGACCTTTATGTTTTTGTGCTTGAGACATTCTTAAAAGCTAGTGTTAACTTGAGTTTGTAATTTTAATTGTATTGATTTTTGATTCACAGCAAATGTGTATTTCAGAAGCGCTGGGTTAAGTTTGATGGAGACAGCATTTCTTATTACAATAATGAAAAGGTAAGTGACATGTTTTGGTCATATTTGGGACAAAATATGTCTATGTAATACACACATTCCCGTGAAGAAATTCAGAAATAATTACAGATGAATATTCATCTTAAATTCATTTTCAGTTTCAAAGTTCTATATTTTAAGGTGTCCTTGAGATATTCATGTGTTGTTCATCCTGTTGGTTTCTAGAAGTGCTTGTATTCTGACCTTTTCAGGTAGATATCATCAGAACTTCTTACTTCATTGCAAGGGTGATGCTGCTGCATTTGCAAAACAGAATTAAGTGATCCAATGTTATTTTGATGGTGGTCACAAAGTGTCTTGTCACAGGAACCCAGCATGCTGAAGATTTTGAGAGAGAAATTAAATGTGGCATGGAAGACCTTTTAAAAACCAACCCCCCCATACCCTTATTTGCTCTTTAATTAAAAATGTCTCTTTTGTGTTTGTCTTCTAGGGATAGTCACATATCATTGGACTAGGTCTTTAAAATCAGGATAGTATTGCGATGTCAGTGACTCTTCTTTGTTTGTATACCTAAGGATTGAATGTTATTGAAACATTTGCAGATTCATGAGTTGCTTTGTTTAAAGTAGTTCACTTCTGATCTGTGATACAAAAATGGATTTGTGAATCCTCTGGAGACATTCAAAACCCGCCCGGACACGTTCCTGTGTGACCTGCTCTAGAGGTGGTCCTGCTCTGGCAGGGGGGTTGGACTAGATGATCTTCTGAGGTCCCTTCCAACCCCTAACATTCTGTGAAAATGTGTATTCCTTTTCTGAAACTGAGATTTACAAAAACTTATTTGACCTTTTGATACTACTTTTTCACAATAGAAACTGCATTGATTTGTGAGGGGGTTTTTCGAGACCTGTCTTTAAACATGGCTTTTTTAAAAAATATTTTTTGTTTTCTGTTTTATTTAATATACTAAATCACTACAAAATTATTTTTCATTTGGTTTGTGATTAATTAATTTATCCTCTTGGAAGAAACAAAGAACTCCTTAAACTCCAAAGTAATGGATGATTGTATAATATGCATGTTAGATGGAGAGGAGGTTATATGCATGTGTATTTGAAATGCTGGAAAACATTTCCTGTTGAAGATGCATATTAAATTAGGAACAAAATACAATTTCAGGTAAAAGTTCCCAAGCAGTATACTGGGTGGTGGTAACTGATAAGAGTCCTATAGATGCTTTATAATATGCACATGTGTAGCCCTATTTTAGCAGATTATGAGGGGGGTAGAACTGAAGTACGAAAAGACTGTTTATTTCCTGAGGGCCACAGAAATTAAGAGCAAGCTCAAAAAATTATTTACATTGATCTTTGTGCCTACTGATTAGAAGCATGAAACAATCTGGTTTTACTTGCTTTCTTTGCTTCACTCACGGTAGAAGACATGATTTTATAGATGAAGGGAACAATAGAATAACATTTGGATTGCAGTGACAAAAAATGTTACTGCTTTGTGATATTCATCCCAGGGCTTCAAAGGAGCAGAAAAGCAGGGTTAGTCATTAAGAAAGACTTGAAAAATACAGCATTGGGATTTGCTTAACACTGTTTGTTGCATAATTTAGAAATGCTAATACGGAATTTTAAATCTTGCATCTGCACTGGGGATTTTCTTTATTTTAAGGTCGCTGAAAAAGTTATTTGGAGGTCAATTACTATAGAATAGTACTTGCTATACATTCATCTGTCATAGGAGATTCCAGAAACCTTCCCTTCTGCTCAGGGGAGTATTTAGTGTGTCCCATGATGCACAGAAAGCTATCATCTCTGCATCCTCTATTTAAAAGTTTTCTGTGATAGGTTAGACTATCAGGAGCTTGCAGAAGGCTTGGTCTGAAGCCTCTTTGTCTCACTTTTTCTGGAATCTGCATAAAAACCTTACTGCTGGGATTGAAACAGCTGGTTGGTCTGTGTGTGTATATAGTTTGACCAAATCTGGGTGTCTGACTTGTTAACTTGGTGTGTCACATATGCTAAGAACTTCGTATGTCTCAGCCTGCTAGATGGATACCAGCATGTTCAAGCTGTTGCTTGTGTGTTGTTACCTTGACATCATAAGCAACTATTTGCAGACTCTTTTAAGTCCTGCATGCAGTTTAGGATCCAGCTCTGGTAAAAGACAGGGATAGTTATAGAGCTCATTGTAAGGCAGCAGGTCGTGCTTCCTAGTTATATGGCTAGCTGTATATGTATTTTTTTTTTAAATGGGAAGTTGTTGTTTTAACTTTAGATCTTAATGGCCAGTTCCGTCTGTTCTAATGTGTGTTTGTCCAAGGACATTCCCACACAGACATGCATGTTATAAAGAAATTGTTAAACTTTTGGTTTCACATGTTAATTAAAAGTAGTTCTCAAAAGGAAACCAATCCATACTTGGATATTTTTGTGATTATTACAAGCAGAGAAGGGTAGACTCAGTGGAATGAAACTGTTTATTCTGCCCAGAAATGCTACCAGTATTAAGTAGCTTTATTTGTCATTCAAATTAGGAACTTGAGAGGAGTGAGGTTCTCAAGAAGAGGAAGTGTGCTACATGGGTAATGAAGAGTGAAAAAAGTGGAGGATGGGGAGGGAAGACACAGAGAGTGGTATTCCTGAAAATGTGTACTTAGCCCATCCAAACACTTCTCTGAATGATTTAATCCTTACACTTCTAAATATTGGTCTAACCTTGATCTAGTGTGTCAACTTCTAATTAGTAAGAGATCTCTTCTTTACTTTATATCTGCATACATGAAAAATATACTTAGTTTTCTACAAACACCATCTGGCCTAGGAACAGTTTCTGTTTGAATCTATGATGTGGCACATTTCTTCTATGTTCATGGTCCTGAGCAAGTTGATGCGGTCAGAGCAACATCCCATGTGGTTTTGTTTTAACAGAATGTGGTTAACTGAAATGAGAGCAAACTGAAGAGGGGAAGGTAGAATTTGAGAATTCTTTTCAGCTACCCAATATGCACAGTTTTTGTTTCAAATTTCTTCCTACTTCCGGGAGGAGAACTCTGGTGCTCTAATATGCACTTTATAGTACAGCAAAACCTGCTGGTTATGTTGGAAGTTTTTGTTTCAAAACATCCTTAGTGGCTGGCACAGCCCTAATCCATGACAGTCCCTGACAAATTGATTAGTGATTTAGGAAGAAGTCTTGCCTTTTCATCTGGACAACTTAAATATTTTGTTATGTTGCATGTGACCAGTAACAAACAACAAAATTCCCTGTGCAACAGGTGAATCGTCATTCTTGAAATAGGTCAATTTAATCTGTTGTGGAAGGAAAGTCAAAGCAATGTAAAATGGTGTTTTCTAGGATCTTTTAGCGCAACTCTGAAACACAGTTGTCGGGGAGTGACATTGGTCTGTATTGGAAAATAAAAGTTTTCGTCAAAGTAGTTGGTATTAAAAAAACCCCATTGTTCTTTCCCCATTAGAAAAATGTTCTCTCAGGATTTTTTTTAGCAGCTGTAAAACTGGTGTGCATCTCTCAGTAACAGAAGAAATTTCTTTGAGATGCTTGGCTGTGTTTGTTTTTTTTTTTTCTATATTCATAAATACTTTGCCTAACTTCTAGTTGAGAGTATTCCAAAGAGAGAAATTGTATCTTTTTCAGTAAGAGCTTTTTAACAGTAGGCATTTTTTCTTGCATGTGAAAGAGAAGCTGCTGCAGAAAAAAGATTGAGAAATTATTATGGTTTAAATGGTATTTGATAATATATATGCCTTGAAGAACAAATATTTTAAAAGCAATATTGTTTAAATAGCAAACCCAAAACTATGCTCAGCTTAAAAGGAAACTGACTTTTTTTTTAGCAAATAAAATGAAATAGCTGTGACTTCCAGCAGTCTGAATTATTCTCTTACAGTACCAAATACAGCCAGTAGATGCCTGCAAACACCATAATATAATTTTAACTGAACACCTTTAGGAATAGCTTATGTAATGTTTGCTTTGCCATTGTGAAGGATCAGTAGTTAACATAATAACCAACCTTATTAACAAATATGTTAAAATCTCTCTTCTAACAAATAATAGCCGTAATGAAAATGAATGTGCAATACTAACATCATTCTGAGTGACAGATTAGTTCTTGTATGTAATTACAGTAATAGGTTCACTTCAGCTGTATTTGGATATTTGTATTTATTTGGTAAACTGCATTCACTGATTTTATATTAGTACCTGGAAGTGGAACAACATAAGAGTGTGAATTTGGTGAAAATCAGTAGTATATTAAACTATGGAAACAAAGACAAAATGATCCTGTGTATCCTTCATGCTTAACATTCACAGTGGTTCCTTAAGTCCTTGCATAGTCTATTATAATAATTTATACTGTGGGAGGAAAGTTATTGCAGTACAAATTCTTTATGGGGAGGTGACTTGGGCTATTACTGCATCTGGATCATAAATCTTAGCAGTATATCTGAATTGTCATAGTCAGAAAACCAATTGATCAAAGTATAGTGGTGACAGAAGCAGCAGCGTTAACTCTGGAATCCAGGAATTGTGAAGCAATCGTCTGCTTGAGCTTCCCCCTGCCCCTCATATGGAATATTTAGGTTAATTAGGTTAAAAGATGAGCTACTTGGAGAAAGTATTCTTGGCAGTTCCTTTTTCCTATCTTGCTTCATTCAGTTGTCCCGATTCTGTTTGGAAATTAGCAAATTTTTGGAAAATTTGCTCTGACCCCAAATTATGTTTTTGAAGGATCATTCTTCTCCTACCCCATATAGCTGAAAAGCACATACCTGATACAAGCGAGAGGATTCCTATTAGTAATGACAGGGCAATGCATTTTTCCAGAGAGTGATGACCCCATTTGAGTTCAAAATAAGCGATAAAATCAGTGAATTTACTTTTCTTATTGACTAGCCACTGAAGGAATGGAGAAGGAACAGAAAAATTCTTTGGAATTTTCTGCCTGGAGAAGGCACAATTTTTTCCCTTGTCCAATTCTATTCTACAAGTATAATTATATATATTTTGATTGTGGTTCTGTGATATAGTAATATAATTTAGTTTGGCATAAAATTGTAAATGTAAGAGTGTGTGATGTTTTGCGATATTAGTGCCGTGAGACAATTTTTGAAGTGGATGTCATATATACATGTTCTATCTTACCATAGGATTTTACTCTATGTTAGAAGTCAGTAGGTGTCTATAGACCCAGAACAGTGAAGCTGGTGATGTGTAGGCAGTGGTTTACTTATTGGTGCAGTTTAGTAATGTTGTGGTGAACTTTTAGGAGCTCAGCCTGTGTATGTGAACTTCCTAAACATCGTGGCAAGTAGTATTACCTGAGAGACATTTAACATTCCATGGAGGTTATTAACTATTTTTGTTGCATTTTTTGTTATAGGAAGTATTCTCAAAGGGAATAATACTACTTTCTGCTATAGCAACAGTAAGAGTTCACAGGGAGAATAAATTTGAAGTTATCACACCCCATAGGACTTTTGTCTTCCGTGTCGATAAAGAAGGTAAGTAGAATGTGTAATTCTAATGATTGCCAAAAAGCCATGTAATCACTGCTGATAAATCATGTTTTTGATATATAACTTGTTATATTAGCAGAAATATTCCTGGAATCCAGCTGTTTGGGCTCATAAAGTGAACTGAAATTGTTGGGGAATGGCTTTTAAAAATATCAAAATGAGAATACTGTTTCCAGCTTTTCTGCCTCTTCCCCTATCCTTCCTAAAGATGAATTTGTCTGGATGTTCCTTGGGTCTCACTAGCAGCTCTTAGAGCCTATGCGCTCTCAGCCATCTGCTCTGAGTCACCACTTGATACAAAATTGACAAAGAGCCACAATGAAGTTGATAGCTTGAATGTGATGCTGTGATCAAAGGAAATGTGTGTCTTTATTTACTGCCTTATACAGTATTTTCAGCCATGTATTAGTAGACAATAGCAATGTAAGTTTTAGTAGGGAAGTTAGTATGCTTTCTAATTTAATGCTTTATCAACCTACAGCTGTGATATGTGGAATCAATATCAGTGCATGTATGACTTATTTATGGAAACAATGAAGTAAAATGGAATACTTAGAAAAAAAAAAAGCTATGCAATATGTATTTACAGCAGTACATGCCAGACCCATTATAGCTAAGTGTCTCTCAGCATTTCCATTATCAAATCCCATTTTCATGTGTTATAGCTGGGTTATAAACATTCACTGCAGGCTGTAACAGGAGTACAGCATCAGTGAACAAATCCTTCTTATCAGGTTTGGCTCAAATCATTTCAGGCATTTTTATGCTCTTAGCTGAGTTAAAAAGTATGTCTATTTTTATTATTTTTGCCTTTCTCTTCTAAATTTATTTTTTTACTTTTTTATAAATTGGAACATAACCATTTTAGTGCAATACATTTTGTAGGGCTGTAATTTGTTTTATGGACCATTGCCTTTGAATACTATAAAAATGTTAAGAATTTATACAAACTTATAAAATGTGTAACAGTGGTTGCTCTGAATATATGAAATTGCATTTTCATTTAGTATATAACCGTCTTTGGACATAGTGGCCTGTCTGTAAAGCTGTTCACTTAAGGTTAGAAATGTGTGTTGTACCAGTAATTTGGTCCTTAGTGTATCTGGAGCTGCATGATGAATTCATAGTAAGTTATGTAAATAACCCTGCTTGCTTTCTGTTAAGTGCTTAAACTGTTACTTGATGCTATTCCTTCTGTGGATTTGTGGTTGGGAATTGCTCTGAGACTATTCAAAGGATACTTAACTTCTTTTCAAAGATTTTTTAAATAGGCACTTTTATACATATTTCATCCTGTGGACCTTATTTATTAACTTTCCTTTCCTCCTGCTGGAGTATCAAAATAAGGAATTCTATGATTGTCTTCATTGACCTGTGTCCCTTGGTACCAATGTTGGTCCTCAATCAGTGGATTATAGTGCTCATTTTGTTTGGTTTTAGTGCTCTGATTTATTATTTTTTGGCATATCAAAATACACTATTTTTGGGTTGATATAAGTATCTAGAGGGAAAAACTCTCTATATAAACATTTTGGAAAGTTTAGGTGCATTTAGGGGCCAAAAATTAAGTAGTTAGGGAATAGCAGTGAATTAGAGCATAATCTGCTCAGATGTGGTGAGATTTGTTTAATTGGAGTGAAATACCACAAGTTAAAAAAAAATTTCTAGAGTAATTTGATGCCCTCAACTATACCGACATATTCCAGCGATCGTTTCAAAGTACTTCAAGAGAGAGTGTATTAAAACAAAACTTATAAGAGGAGCACTTGGATCACCTTCCCTGTGCTAATCTTTCAGGCTGCTTATCTCCTCTTCTTCAAACTGTTTTCTGATGCTTAAATTTGTGTATTTATTCCTTCTTGTTGCACACATGACACTTACAAAGTAAGCACGTTACTGTTTTAACGGTGCTCTTTGCAGTGTTCAGCACTGATTGTGTCAACTTCGTATATATTGTGGATAGAACTTTCCTTCCCTCCCTGCCTCTATCCCAATATATTTTACAACCTGAATCTTTCAGAGTAAAGAGTTGAAATATTCATGATGTTCCAATCGCATGGGGCAAGTCTAATTCATTCAGAGTATTCAACTTTAAAGTATATTGATCTTAGTCTGATGAAATATCTGAGCATAGTGAATGAGACTGAGTGGAACTTTATTAATTCACCTACTAGTGCTCATGTATTTGTAAGATGTTAAATTAATAATGCATGCAAAGACATTCAAACGCGCATTTTCTTGATTACGCAGTACCCTTGAAGCTTAACCGCTACACCTTAATGGAATAGACTGTAAATTGCCAAATGTTTTTGCTTAAAAGCATGGCCAAACATAGAATGGCATTGTTGATGGCTTGCCCCTTTAGTGACAGGAGATGTTTAGGCTCCCTTACTTTTGCTTCTGTAGTTCTTTCCCATTGAAAAGAAGGTGAACATGGCACCTGTTAACCACCTCAGTCTTTAAGCTGTGTGGAATTAAGTCATGATTTTAAAAATCTTGATCATCGGTTTGTACAACTTTCAATTTGTTGTTGATTGTTGTGAGTTAAATACATGGTTGTCTTTAACAACATCTCCACTGATACAGACTCTCATTTTTATTTACACCTCCTCTTCAAGGTGGATGTTCTCTCTGATGTGGTATAGCTGTATCATCAACCAGCATAGCATAGTGGGAAGAACAGGAAAAACAATGTGTAGAGAAGAACAGAACTGCTGCTTAACTGTATGTCTAATTTTTTTCCTTGTTTAGAAGAAAGGAATGACTGGGTTAATACGATGCTCAGTGCTTTGAAATCCCACTCTGATAATAACTCTCAGTCTCGAACTTCTGTCACCCCTGAGAAAAGCGGATATCTTGAGCTGAAAGGATACAAAGCCAAAATCTTTGTTCTACTTCAAGGGAATACCGTGTGGATCTGTAAAAATGAGCAGGTAAATTTTTCATATGCTTTTTGTGAATGAATGCTTATAAAGGTGCTTTAACTAGTGAGTTGGAAATTGATGGCTCTTTGTGAATAGGTGCATTTTAATATAAATGTGTATCTCCTTTTATGTAGTACTTTATTGCTGCAATTCTCAGAAAGCTTCAAAAAGCAGGGGAAGTATCATTATGTCTATTGTACAATGGAAAAAAGGAATATATAGTGAGGTGAAGTGAAAAGCCCTGAGTGTCACAACAGGTTAGTGGCAGGGCTGGGATTAATTCACTCTTAAAATGTGCGCCATAAGCACTCTACTAAATCAGAAGGCTTATTTTGTGCACTGGTTTCACTGTCCTATAATACAGTGCTCTGAAAAGTGTGCTATATGTGGGATATAAGTGATACTTCAGCTAAATGTTCAAAACTGATGTTGTTTATGTTTTTAAGAACCTGGATTGGCCAGTTTCTGTTGTGCACTGTGATATTTTAAACAAATCCAGTATTAAAAACCATGAAGTAGGCCTATAATTTCAGCTCCTGAAATCTAGGGGTTTTTATTTTGTTTTGGTCATGACTATATTATGATATCAAGTAGTTAGCTGTGGAACTCTTTAGGATGCTGTAAGTAGGAGATAAATGGGTATAACTGGTTTCAGTGAATGCCTGTGTAAACTAGTGGAAGAAAAATCTATTACAGTATACTAAATGGAAGGTATTATTTCTGTTCTTCTAATTGTGACCCCACAAGTAGCTGGAACCTGGGAGGGCATTTGGGCGAGGTGTTGTTACATGCTTGCCTTGATCTCATTTTCTCTCAAATTTGTGTACAGGCAAACTCCTCTTTCAAATGCGAATGGTCTCTCAGTAAGACTTGTCATTTTGGAGTTGATCTCACTTCCTCTCCTTTTATCCTCTTAAATATGAAATTATTTAGATGGCTTGAGGGACCATATAATGTTCAATATTAGATCTTACTATTCTTTCCCAGGGTATGGCAGGAAATTTGAGACTGAGAAAGACCTCCTTTTCCTTCTAACTTGGTGTGGTCCAAGGAAGTTTTACTGGTCAGGTACATTCTTTGCGGTCAGTCAACAACCAACTAGTCAAAACCATGATTCAGTTTATGCATTTATACTGTTTTGTAGCTATAACAAAACTCCAGAAATTACTTAGACATGTAATGCTTTACCAAAAGTGTATTGGCTGCATGTCACTTGAATTTAAGCCTGCAGCTTGTGTTTTGCTGAATGAGCATCATTCAGGAGAGAAATTGGTTGTCATAGTTGAGCACAGTACTCTTTAGCTATATTGAAGTCCTTAGTCTTGATTATTGTAATGAGTAAGTGATCTGCTAGTTAGTTTATTTAAGTAGTTTACAGCTAGACATCTTTAAGGAGGAAAAGAACCAAAATGCAAATGCCACACCCTCACCCTAAGACCCTGTACTTCACTGAGGTTCTTTTACATCATTCCAATAAAAAAAATGAAGTCGACCAACTTACTTTACAGTCACTGCTTGTGGGATGACCCACACTGTGCTGTAATGCTGAATGTTACTGTTCTATCATGGAGTTTCCAGGTATTTCATCAATGAGAATCCCTGGAATGCATTCTCATCAATGAGTCCTCTCTTTGTGGATGTTCATTGTGATAAGCCACTTCTACCTTCAGAATCAACACTGTATTGATCTTATGCCCCTGAATACTATTGAATGCTCCCTTATGGATGTTCTGAGCTTCTTGATTAAGGGTCAAATGTGGTACTTCGAGGAGGTATACAGACTTGTGGAGGAATTTATCTTCCAGAATGATAGGTCATTTAAAACTAGCTATATCCCTCTTGAGTCTCAGTACCAGGCATCCAGGTTTTGCTTTCTTCCTTCTTTCTTACTCTACGTGCATGTAATCATTGGAAGCACCTTTCTTGCCTCAAGTAGTCCTTTGATCTTTCGCTGTTGATATGGGGCACTCCCAGATCTGCCCACTATGCTGAGTCAGTTTTTCTGACTCTGTCTGTTGATGCAAAACTGTTCCAGAGCCATTCACTGTTGAAGGGTTCTTGATTGCTCTGTTGTACATTTTCAGGGTGCAGATTATGACTATCCAAGATAATCTAAGACTGCTCCCCCCCTCCTGCCCAATCAATTTCCTTTCTTACAGATTTTTTTTTTTTAAATTATTCTTTTGTGTGTGCATGTGTGTTTTGGTTCTATTTCTTGTGTGGCTGTATGGTAAGTTGTATCAGCTCTGCCCTTTTGACTTCATTGATATCACATTTGCTTTAGCTGATTGTGAAAGCACACCCTTATACAGCCTGTCTACTAGGTGTTTTTTTCCTTCTACTACATGGATGCTCTGCAGAGATCACTGACTGCAGTGCAGCAGAAGACAAACCAAAATCAAGCCCTGAAACTGAAGGTTAGACATGCTGCCAGCCTGTCAGCTGCTACTGCCTGTATGAATATTACAAACGATGGTGCAAAGCCAGCTTCTTCCCAAAGCTTATTTACTTAAAACCAAAAATATCAAATGGTCCTAAGAGGTTTCTTTTTAGGTCCTCTATTTGAACAATGTCTCTTTCTTTGTGCAATTTCTGTCCGTTTAGGAATCGAAAGAAATAGCTTCTGTCTTAAAGCTTTCATAGTCTGTAATTCTTCTCTCAGTACCTCTTGTATTTTATTTTCAAGTTGAAAACCGAATTATTTTTACTGCAGCTCTGAAGAAAACCCCAGTAATACAGCATTAATCCATTAGAGGGCTCTGTTGTTCTAAAAAAATCTTTCCTCGTCTCAAGTTTGCGATTTAGCCGGTAATTAGCAGGCAAATATGTCCAGGGATGTCCTCAAATCCTGTTTGTATTGGAATTCACATCCATACTAGAACGACTCCCAGAGAGACTTAGAGGGGTTTATTGTAACTGCAGTGCTAAAAGACACCTATTTAGACTTCTTACAATGTTGAAATGAGATTGGATCAAGCTGATTCATTATTTCTATGAAACTTGATAGAGGAGAGTCCACTGTTACTTTAAAAGATTTTTCTTCATTGTTAAAAGTGGAGAAGCTCCTAAGCCAAATGCCAAATCCTAACATAACCACCATGTACTTTGTGAAGTTCAGATTGAGATCAGAACATCATGTCTCAGGCCCATTTCTAGTTAAAAAGTGATTGGTTTAGCTTGAGCTTCTGGCAGTGATATAGTGCTAGTATGAAACCATCAATTTCTTTGACTTTCCATGTAGTGTGAATTTCTTAAACTTCCTCTCTGGAGCACAAGTGAAAAATACATCATACAGAATCAATTTGTTGAACCTGCAACTTGCTGAAAGTCCCATTTCTATTTCAAAATAATTTGTGCTTAAATAAAAACATGTCATCTGATCCTTCATGACAGCTCAAACGTTGGCTTGAAGTGTCAGTCTGCTGTGGTGGTGCCAGTGATAACCTCCCCTCTGTGACCATCAGAAGGGCTCTGACAGATGATTGCCTGGTCTGCTAGAATATACCCCCTTCGTTAGGGTGTATTTAAGATTCACTGGTATCTAAAGTCAGGGAGGGCCTAGGTGTCGCAGTGTTTGCACTAGAATTTGGCTTTGATGAAGAGAATTCAGGATCCTTTTTGTTACTGCTTTGGGTGGTTCTGAAGTAGATGTATTTACCTGGCATATTTGAAAGAAACATTGCCAAATATAAAGACTGGGAAATGGTATGTATGACTGTGTGCTGTATAATTTCTTTTTTTTTCCATGCATGACTCCAAGTTAAAGCTTGAATAGTGATGAGTATTCTTTCTGTTGTGTACAAGCAGTAGTATCCATTTCTTATCAAAACCCTCTTGTTTCATTTTGGCTCAATGCTCTTATTGATTTCAGAGGGCTTTTTGTTTTGTCAAAGATTGAAATGATTTGGTCTGTGGCAGATGGAAATGTTTATTCATGTTGAGTGAACCAGTAAGCGAGAGTGTAGTAATTTTCATTTCCTCTCTAATGCTAATAGTACATTTAAAGCAAAACTGGACAACATCAGAAGATGTATTACAGGAAATTAAGTTAAACAGGTAGAAGACGGCAAAGGGTATGATAATGTAAAGAACTGCTAAGGGGATAGATGGAAGGACAAGCTAAAGATGATGCTTGAAATTGGTGTTCTGAAAGACAGGAAGTGATGTGAATGTCGGTGGAGGGAAGTGGAATGGATGTGTGCATGTATCTTTGTGTGCATAAGAACAGAGATGTGTTCTTGTCTCTGTTAATAAACAGGCTTGAAGGGGAGTGCTTTGAGCAACCTGATCTAGTGAAAGATGTCCCTCTCCATGCAGGGGGGTTGGACTAGTTGGTCTTTAAAGGTCCCTTCCAACCCAAACCATTCTGTGATTCTGTGAAATACGATGGCAGAGACAATATGGTTGGGATTCAGGGGCAAACTTTTTGGTATATAGTGATGGGAATTTATAATGATCCTCTACAAGGGACTTGTTCATTAGGAAATGTTTTCTTTTTCCCTGGAGAAAATGTAATCCTGATTAATAATCATGAAACATGATGGATGAGAAAGAGGAAACTTTTTTTTTAAAAAAAAAAGTTGAGCATCTATGAAGTACAGTAGGAAGTGTCTCACAATGGAAGGTGAACAGAGTAGTTAAATGAAGTCCTGAAGATGAGTAGTCATGATTGTTTGTCATGCTGAAGAAGCATGAGAAAGCTTTTAAAATGTATTTAGATCAGATTATTCATTGTATCATTGTGATAATATTTGTGAATACAAAAAGAGTCCCAGATGATGGCAACAGCAATGTGAAAGAAGAGTTGAGGGGAGTGGGGTTGAATGGAAGTTGAGTAGAAAGCAAAATAGCTGCTTAAAGATTTTAAGATCTAATGAGGAACGCTGAGCAAAGCAACTGACAGTTTTAGAAGGGAAAACTGACAGTTTTAGAAGGGAAGCTAGGGAAAAAGGTAGAGGATTAAAGGTGACAAAAGAAAGTGGGAGGAGGAATAGGAAGACCTGTCAGAT